GCAAAATTAGCCGATTCATGGTTTTTAGTTTATTTTACTGATTTCTGGATTCAAAAAGCTAGCTTGAACTGCTATGTTTTGTGTTTTAAGCAAACAAATCTCATTTATTATCCATGCTACTAGCATTTTATAGTTTTTGGAGAAAAAAAAAAAAATGTGACTTGAAATCTTTTATTTCTTCTGATTCTTCAGACTTAACCCCTGATGGGATGTAGTCACTGTGAGGCGCTGTAGATGTTCAGCTGTGGTAGGATTGTGCTACTGTATCCATAGTGTGCCAGCTACACGCTCAAAACCTTAGAGGCTTTAGTGGTTGTTGTGCCAAGTCTGTGTTTTGGGTTTAGGAAGCGCGTGCAGGTGTGAGTGCGTTTTACGAATGCGGTGTGTGCAAGCTTTTGATGCGCTTCAGACGCGAAGGTTGTTGCGTGTCGTACATTTCAAAGTTTACTGTATCTTGCCTTGCACTTTACAATGAAGCAAACTTAATAGAAAAAAAAAAAACATTTGCATATGTGCGTGTGTGCGTTGAGATTTTGAGTGTTTACATGCATTTTTTTTTTCAAATTAATTTGATGAAAATATATTTTATTTATGATATTGTATAAAATGTGCTGGTAAAATGTAATATCTAACCTTAATCATAAATCATATATAAATACAGATGTAAAAACGGGTTTATTACATTGGTGGTTTTAAACTTAAATGTGATGATGTCCTATCGCACCTATGGCAGTGTAAAAGATGTTGAAAACTGTAATTATTCTGAAAATCTTAAGTCATCATATTGAAACTGTCCAGTGTTATTTATTGATTACAAATGACTCGTTTACACAACCGAGGTGTTGAGCCGGTGTCAGACCAATCTTTGAGTGCTTTTTTCTGTCACTTTCAGTTCCAATTATATGCTGTACTGAAAAAGATGACAAAAACGTTGAGATACGAAAGCCATTTTGTAAAAACTAGTTGCCTGTTTATTTTTTAATAATCATTTAATCGACTGCCTTTTGGATTTGTTTATGAAAGATGATTTGTCTTTTTTTCTATATTTTGTGTAATTTGTTTTCAAAATGCTGAAATGTGATTTTTTTTTGGACAAACTCTTCCAAGCGCTGAGCTGGAGCTGCGATGACTGCAGAGGAAATTGCTGATTTGAAGCGTCTAACCGCGTCAGTGCAACAGCATCGGACAGCCGTTATGGAACAGTGACTGTACGCAGCGCGGGAAGCCGGACTAGATGTTGCACGACTTTGTACATTGCAAGGTGTTTTCGTGTGTTATCATGTGCAGTGTATGACAAAGACAAAGTCAGTGCAACCCTCTGGAGATTAAATGAATTATTGAAGTGTGAAAGTTGTGTCTTTTTCTTACGTTGTTGCTTTTCTTCATTCTTTCTGCTGCATTTATTTTTTATTAGGATCTATTGAGTCAGGTAACAACTGTCACTCCATACAAGAATGTTCAGCTTTTAGTTCCAGTATTTAGTCATTTATTGTATGTCTTCCAAAATTGGATTGGATGAGCATTAGTTTAAATGATGCATTGTTCTGGCCTTTATTTGGGCCCCTCTAAAATATAAGTACATTTTAATCCAAAGTACCATTATTGCCATTCTGGCTGCAGGTTTAGGGTTATTTTAGTGCTGGAAGGCCAAACTCTTACCTGCTCAGATAATTTTTTAGCCTTTTTGCCATTTTTCAGATGGCGGTTATAAACCACACAGAATTTAATTGTAGGCTCTAAATCAGGGGTCGGGAACGTATGGCTCGCGAGCCACTTGTGGCTCTTTTGATGATATCATCTGGCTCGCAGACAAAACAAAATATTTAATTTGGATAGAATAAAATCTGTTTTAATCCATGCATCGGTATTCCGCTGCTCATGTCCTGTTCAGGGTTGCTATTGGCTGCAGGAGCAGTCCATTATTTTAATTGGATAATAATAGCCTACGTTGGCTGTTGCTGGGTAAACCCCCTTTTGAATCAGTCTGCTCGGGCAGTAGCTCACAGCTAACCCTTCAACGAAGAAGATGGCAAAAAGAAAAAAAGACGAGGAGTATCGTACATTTCAGGACGAATGGACCGAAGAATTTGCCTTTGTGGAGAGAGCAGGTTCTGCGGTGTGTCTTATTTGCAATGACAAAATTGCATCGATGAAACGGTCGAATGTAAAGCGGCACTTCGACACACGCCATGCTACCTTTGCGTCAAAGTACCCGGCGGGGGACAGCCGGAAGAAAGCGTGCCAAGAGCTACTGAGCAGCGTGCAGGCTAGCCAGCAGCAGCTCCGCGTATGGACCCGACAAGGTGACTATAATTCCGCTAGCTTTGCTGGATCTTTAGCAATAGTGAGGAACGGAAAACCATTCACAGATGGCGAGTATGCTAAAACGTTCATGCTGGATGTAGCCAATGAACTTTTTGATGATCTTCCGAACAAAGACAAGATAATCAAACGGATAAAAGACATGCCTCTGTCGGCAAGAACTGTTCATGATCGCACCATCATGATGGCAAACCAAGTGGAGGAAACGCAGGTGAAGGACATAAATGCAGCGCTGTT